TGAATAAAAACAATTGATTAAATATACAAAAAGTAATCTAAATTCTTAATAAAATAAAAAACTTAAGAAATATAAATAACAGGGTTCTTCTAGGCATCTCTAGCTAGAGATGCCTAATGATAATATTTTGGGCTTAATAGCTAATTAAAATACAAATAAATTATGTAGTTGCTATTTTTATATAGCACAAAAGTAACACAAAGAATGATCATTACAGATTAGTTTGACAAACAAAAACAACAACAAAAAAGCAAAAAAGTGAAAAAGTCAAAAAATACAAAAAATGTATATCTAAACCTATTCTGATATATTAATTAAAAATGTCAAAAAGACAATTTTATATATAAAACTTATCTTTACTCTAACTTTGTATAACCCTAATTTTACTTAAAATCATATGATCAAATGTAGTTTTACGCTGAAGATGCATAAGCTAAATATCTCTGGCTAGAAATATCTAGAATTTTTCTAAATAAAGTAGCAAAACAATATAACAAAATAGCATAAAAAATACTTGCATAATAATTTAAAAAATCAGCAAATGATATATTTACAAAATAGCAAAAAAAAGAAAAAAAAGAAAAAACTTATAGATTAACAAAAAGCAAAGAAAAAACTACAACTTCAAAAAGGAATAACAAAGCAAATAAAAAAATTATAAAAAAAATATTAAAAATTGTAAAAAAATTTTTAATTAAATTAAAAAAGAACAGAACCAAGATTTATAATACTATTTTAAGGATGTAACAACTTAGTGAAGTTAGTAAGTTATTATACCTCTAAGTGGCAAAACAAGAGTTCGAATCTCATTAGTAATGAAAATTTGAATTTATAGAATACATTTAGAAGACTATATTCTATTAGATTAGCATCTGTAACAAAGTTATAACAGCTTATACTAGAAGGCAGTAGAACATTAGTGTAATATATGAATTATAAGTGAAGTTGCTAAGTAAAACTAATAAATTAAAATATAGAAGCTCACTTAGCAAGATCTGAATAAAAAGGTAGTATAGATCTTTAATGATACTATATAAGAGTGCTTTCAAAAATCAGCTAATTAGAGTTTACTAAGTGATCACTTCAACCCACCCCTACTCACTCTCATCTAATATCTAATTAGCTAATCAGATTTCATATTTATTAAAACTTATAATTAAAATTATATATAATATAAAAAATATTAAATAATTTTTGATCTACTAAACTAATTGAAATGATTTAATTACCAAAATGATTCTCTCATTAAGAGGATTCTAAAAATTTAAAATTATAAAAATCTAATTACTAGAAACTAAGATATAGATAGTTTTATATTACTATATAATAACTTAAAATAAATATATTTATAGTAATACAAATCTAACATTATCTTAGAATTTAATAATTAGTTTAGATTTATTATAATTCTTTCATTAAGAGAGTCATTTTGGTAGTTAAATCATTTAATAGACAAATTGCGAGTCATCTAAACAAAATATTTTTTTTTATATATAAATTTTACTATAAGTGTGAATGTGAAGCATGCCTATCTAAAACTTTTTTTCTTACTAAGTAAATCACTTTTGGGCTTGTAACAAAAGTTGTAGAGCTCATTAAAAGCATTTAATAGTATAAGAATGTTAAAATTGGCTTGGTAGTTCTTGAGAAATCTTTAAAAAACTTTTTTTTTACATATAAAATTTTTGGAACTTCTTTATTTTTTTTTTTATTTATTTTTTTTTTTTAATATTAAAGTGACCACTTTGGGGTCTGGCACGTTTTATTAAACTTTAAATCGAATGCCAGGGTAACCATATAGGCTACTCCTGACTTTGTTACATTAACGAAAATACATACTAGCTATATGTACAACTTTTGGTTGTCTATTTAAGCAGTCTTACATATGTAACCCATATGAACTACACTAGATGTTGTACCTGTAACCCACTATTACTTGAGTTACCCAATTAAACCCTCTGATCAACTTAGCACTGTCGGGATATTCTTCTCAAAGAGGAACTGCCGCTAAGACCCCTTAGGACTTTAAAGCAGACACACACTCCCATATAGGGGGTCCTTTATCCTTGTGATAAACCTACCAGAGCGGTCCATATTCCACACATGTATCACTTAGATTTTCGGTAACTTACGTCTAGACCGCGGCCAAGTACTTGCGGCTTTTTACTTTCGCTACCATTACCTATTCTGTGCCCTTGCAAAGTTCACCCAAACCCCAGCACACACTTTATGGACTATCAACAGTACTTCAATGCCAACTAACAGTGCCTCAAACTCTCAATCCAGATGGTCTGGGAGGGACCAGTGGGTGTCCCCTGGTATTCTGAATAAATTTTTTTTCCTCCAGCTAGTCCGGCAGCCTGGTTGGTGTAGTGCTTTTGCCAAACACTCGGTCCTCGTTCAGTTTTACTGCTAGTGTCCGGTTCTCCAAATAATAATCCTTTACATAGTACCGTCAAAGATCTGTGCTACCTCTCTACTTGGGACTTCCCAAGCGGGCTTCCGTATCCCCTGATCTCTTGGATTGATTTGGCTGCTTCACTCGGGTTTCATGTAACTTATACGTTATACTACATTCCACAACCTCCCAATATGAGTTGATGAGACCAAGGTTACAGGTGTTTACACAATTGATATGTCATACAGTTTTATCATAACGTATTTCTGCAAATTCGAATTTTGTCACCGGTGGGATTCAAACTCTTGTCCTGCCGCTCAGGGATGCGACAACTTACCAACTATACTAAGTTGCCACACCCTTTTTTTTGAAACTTCTTTAGTATAGATGGGCATATATAAATTATTACAAGATTATAATATATACAATTTAACTAATTTGAGCCAATTTAAATTCTAACTCTAATCCTAACTCTAATAATTTATAAAATTACTTAAATTAGCTCAAATTAATTAAATTTTATACATTATAATCTTGTAATAATTATATATGCCCACCTATACTAAAGATCAACTAAATTTTTTTAAAAAAAATCAATTTTTTTAAAGAAATTTTATATGTAAGAAAGAAGTTTTTTAAAGATTTCTTAAAAACTACCAAGCCAATTTTAATGTTTTTACTACTATTAAATGCTTATTGATGAGCTCTACAACTTTTGTTATAAGCCCAAAAATGATTTACTTAGTAAGAAAAAAAGGTTTAAATAGGTGCGCTCCATATTCGCACTTATCGTAAAATTTATATATAAAAAAAAATATTTTGTTTAGATGACTCACAATTTGCTTATTAAATTAGTTCAGTAGATCAAAAGTTATTAATAATTAAAATTTTATAATTATTAATAAATTTATAATTTGGTCTAAAATTTTTTTAATTTTGGCTAAAACTTGATAATTTTGGCCAAAATTACACCTAATACACTAGCTAACCCACCTACCTACTTCTAAATCAGCTGATTTCTAAAAGCTTTCTAAAGAATTATCTCTAAAAGTAATAAAAACTGAAAAGACTAAAGTACTTAGCAAGCCATTTTATCAATCAGGCTGCTAGATGAGTAAGAAGGGCCAGAAATCATATGTTTTTTATTTTAATAAAATTACTCTCCTCCCCTAGGTTTCTTATCTTCTAGATTTTTCTATATATAGATATATTTTTTGACAAGACCTCCTCCCTCTAAAAAAAAATACATATTTTCTGGCCCTTCTCTAACTGGAGAAAAAGCACCTAACTATAAGGACCAAGAGCAAATCACAGCCCTTCTAGACTATCAGAATTGGTAGTTTAGAGTGATAGAAGTACGATAAATAGTCTGTATAGTGGATGCTAAGATTTAGACAAACTCTATAAAGGCCAGGTAGTTAGATAGTGTGGTCTGTCTATAAAGGCTTAAAACCTATCTGACTAATGTGTCTGTAAAAGAGATTGATAATGCAGCCTGCCTGTAAAGATATAGAATCTATCCAGTAGTTCCTATCCAAAGAAAACTAGGTCTATATATTAAAAGTGAGTAACAGGTAGCTCTAGTAACAATATCTCAAGGATAAAGTAGTTTAAAGTTAAGCATCTGAGACTTCTTGACTAACTAATATAATAGGATATAACAGTAATACATATAGAGTTGCATTATAGAGAGTTTAAACAGATAATCTAGTTGAATTACAGATATAGTATTATAGTACCCCAAAATTTCATTGAATTTTAATATTTTTCTTTTTTATTTCCTTTTTCTTATATTTTATTATATTTTTATTATATTCTTATCAATATTTTATTATATTATCATTATATATTATTATCATTGATACTATTATTTATTATTGTTTATATTATATATATTAGTAATTAATGAGTGAGTATAGAGAACGTTCATATTTGGAAGCTAATATCTTGAAAACTAATGCAAAAACCTGTTACTATACACTAGCAAATCTCCTATTTTGGATCATAGAACATTTATGTTTTAATAAGCTAGATCAATTATCATAGTAAAATTTTCAGTAATTAGTGATTTTTGATAAATGTTCTAGAACTTACTAATTAGTATAACAAAATTTAAATTAAATGTAACATATGATGTACTATGTAACCCTATATATGTCACATGATAGATAGACATCAAATTAACATCCACATAGTCCCAAAACATCATAAATAGCCTCCCTTTTCCTTCTTTCTCCATTTAACTTTGTACAAGTTCTCATAATTTGATTACTAATAATAAAATACTATTGTCTTCTTGGAAATTAGCATTTTTCTTGAGTTTTTGTTATCTTTCTTGTCATTTCTTGATATTTTTAGAGTATATAAGGTTTGGATTCCCAGAGTCTAATAGTGTTCGCTATATTGCTTGAACTAAGTTTAGACTTCTTTGAATCTAATAAGGATATACTCCACTTTATCTGTTTGCTATTATTCTATTACAACTCTATCTTTTAAATATTACTCTCTGCTTTAGTTCTTTAAATTGAACTGCTAATTATTGCTCCCTTCTGCTAGACTCCATCTTGAGCCTAGTTATACAAAAATAGAGTAATAACATTTAATGCCTTCTGGTGGAAAACAATATTTAAAAGGAAAAACAATTTTTTAAAGGATATCTCTTTATTTACAAATATTGTTTCTTGCAGTTTCTCTTTTAAATTCTTTCTTTTTTTTAGTTGCTATCTCTCTTATTTTCTATTATCTTATCTTTTAACATCTTATTATCTATTCTTTATCTTTATTTCTTATTATCTTTCTTATTTATTCTTATTCTTATCTATAAACATATCTTATTTTTTTCTCTAAACACTTTTATTCTTTATTTTATGTTTAACCAACAACATTTTAACTTTTCTTGTAAATATTTTAGATATATCTTAACTGACAAACTACATCAAGATTTAATTGCCCAAATTAAACAAATTATTACTCTCTTTCAGCAAGGTTCTATTCTTACTTCTGAGGAAACTAAACTTCTTTATCTATATGCTCAACATTGTGGTTTCTCTTGGGCTAACAGCAAATCTAAATACACTTCACCTCAACTTTGAGATCAAGGTATAATTGATCAAGAGTTTCTTGAAGAAAATACTTATCAACAAACCTATTATCTCAAATTTTCAAACCCAAGCAATCCTACTGGAATCTGTTATAATCTTCCTTATCCTACTGAATTACAAGTTATTAATATTGTCTATACAAATTATCAACTAAATAATTTAAATCTCAATGAACAAGAATTTAACAGCAATATTATCTCTTCTAACGGAATAAAAGAATTAGTAAAATTTAGACAGCAAAAAGGTTTTAATATTTATTTAGATTAAAGTATTGAATAACTGATAACTTTGATTTATTTTGACAAAGAAACAATTTACATGATAACTTTCACAACCAATATATATTAAATCCTGACACTTTTGAATATTTAAGTCAACACCTTCCTGACTTTTCTTGTACTATTTGTTATCCTGTAAATATAGAAAGAGATTATTCTTTTATCAATTTTTGGTCTTAGTTTTCTGCAGAATTTTCTGTTGTTCAATATTCTGATTATACTATCTTAGTTTTTCAAGATATTAACGCATATAATATTGATAATTTACCTTTAAAATGGTTTAAAAACCTTACTTTTACTATTCAATATCAACAAAGTTTAACTCCTTTAGTATTTGATTCTTTACTTATTCAAATTTATACTGCTTATCTTCGAACAAATCGATTTACTTTAGATCCTTTTTTAATTCTTTATAATCATAGTGAGGTAAAATCTGAAATTTCTGAAACTTCTGATTTATTTGAATTTGATTTAGAACAATTATATCAAACTCCTATACCTTTTCCTCCTATTACTCCACCTTTATTACCTCCAAATAATAATAATATGACATTACAAGCACAAGATGTCAACAATTTAATTGCTGCTATTCAAGCACTAGATAACTGGATTCAAAATCAAACAAATGCTATTGCTAATAATACTAATTGTCTTGAACAAAGAGAAACTAAACTTATTGAAATTATACCTTTTGCTGGTGGTAACCAAGATCCAGTTACTTGGATTGAGAAATTTGAACATATGGCTGTAGCTAACAACTTTACTGATGCAAGAAGACTACAAATTATTCCTGCTTATCTTAAAAATGAAGCAGCAATTTGGTATAATAACACCAACCAACAACAAGCTTTTGGACACTGGGATACACAAAATCAAGCTGATAGTTTTAAACCTCGATTCTTTAACTAATTTCAAACTCCTGTTCTTATTGATATCTAGGCTACAAAACTAACTTACTGTATACAAGGATCAACTGAAACTGTAGATCAATATACTATGCATCTACATGAATTATATTATCGATTAGAAACAAATGCTAATGTTTATCTAGAAATAGAAAAAGTCTGTAAATTTATCACTGGTTTAAGAACAGAATTACAAATAGCAGTACATCTATTTGGTGAAAATACTTGGAATGGAGTAGTTAACAGAGCAAAAACCTGTGAACTTACTCGTTATAGTGCTGCAATATATATTACTCCTAATCTTAACAACAATATTGTTACTTCAACTCCTACATCTTCTAATTTTGTTGAAATCATAATGGAAGCTCTCACTAAATATATAGAAAATCTTGAAAAGAAAATTGAAAAGAAATTAGAAAACAACAACTATCCTAGAAGAAACAACCAAAACAATAATAATAACAACAACAATAACAATCAAAGAGGACCTGTTTGCTT